GAAGCTGAGAGAGGATAAGGATGAGGCAGCCGGCACCCAATTCAGCCCCAATCCCAAGCCCTGCAGCATTTGGCTTCTCTGAGGAAATATCGTTTCAAAATTTGAATTTTTGTGGCTGTAAAACCAATGACTTCAAGTCTTCAAGAAAACAAGGGAGATGTATTAATAGACTCATTGATTCTCACCTGCCTCATCTATAAAATAAGGATGATAATAACAGTGATAGCTCCTTCATAGGATTATTATGAGGATTAAATGAGATCTTATATGTAAACTAAACAATAAGAACTAGATAATGTTAGCTTTTATTAACATTTTTAAAGAGTGTAAGTAGAATTAAGGGCACAGTGAGTCACTGAAAAAATATCTATTTTGCACTAGGGATCACTCTGTTGAAGAAACACTGAGCCACTTTGTAGTGAGTGCAACATTCTTTATTAATTTATTCAGGTAACAAATTTATCGAGTAGCTACTGGGTGATAAGATACAAAAACAATTAAAACACAGTCCTTTTTCTTAAGAATGACATGGTCTAGCAATGAGATAAAAGACATAGATAACTAATTACAATGCATGAGATCACTACCACAGAGTATTAGAAATTAAATTCTATGTGATCTTAAAGAAAGCAAAATTGATTGTTTTTTAAGAGTTTTAGAGAAAGTGATATAGGTATACAGGTACAGAGTTTTGTATACTACAACAGGAAAAAAAGAAAGGCAGTGAGGGCATTTTAAAAAGAGGAAACAATATGAAGAGTGAAATAAATAGTTTGATCATTAAGTAAGCATTTTTTGGAAAACTTTCTCTTCTAGTGGGCCATCACTAAATTACTCAGAGGATTGGCAGAATAGTTCCCAACCCTAAATTGCCTCAGTGGAAGCACATTTTCTCCTTTTCCTGAAGCCAGGTTAACCTCCCCAGTATAAAATTTCAAATGCATGTTAACATAAATTCCTGATGTTAATGCTACAGTAGTGAGAAGGCATAAAAACTTAAAACCAAAAGAAACTTGTTAGCTTGAGTTTTGAAATGTAGGATGGAGACATATCATTTCTTCACTAAATGATTTATTTTTAAATAAACTTGAACCTAGTCCTTAAAAATCTAATACAGCAGCTGTTGAGAGAAATGACAAATACTGTACTTTCATTTTTGGATATCCTGCTCTACATAATGCAATTTTAGCCTCCAAAGTCTCATGTGGGTCTAGAAAGTACATTGCTCATTCTATGATATACACCTTACTCACTACTGAAAATAATTGGATTTTATTTGTAAAATACAATGCTGGGGTAAACCTTGTGTCCCTAAAGATATTTTCTATTTTGTACCAATCAATCCATAATATGTCTCATTTTTCTTAAAATGCATTTCTATAAAGTGTGAAAGAGTATCATACTGAATCCAAAGTTTCTCTAGGATGATTCACATTTTTCTTGCAGGCTATTATGACATGAATATAGATTATTAGGCTAAGAAATAGCACATGGTGATACCTGTTCCAGGTTTCCACTTCTGTGTAACAAACTATCCCAAAACTTAGTGGCTTATTATTTTCTCTAACAGTTCTGGGAACTAATGGGCTCAGTTGGTCAGTTCTCGTTTAACATGCTTCATTAAGTTGTAGGCAAATATAATTGTGGCTAGAGTCACCCGAGGGCTTCTTTTCTCATACGTATGGTGCGGGGTCTGGGATAGCGGAAACAGCTGGGGGCTGATCAGGCTGCTCCTTTCCCTATCTCCTTCTTTCTACTCATCCTCTTCCTCTCTTTCCCCCTCTTTTCTCTTCCTCTCCCCTATCTTCTTCCCTCTCTCCTTTTGAGCCCTGCTCCTCCCCACTACACCCACATCATGTGGCTTCTTCATATGCCTAGTTTGGGCTTCTTCTTAGTCCTGAAAGTCTCAGGGAAATTAGACTCCTTACATGATGGTTGACTTCTCCTAAGAAAATATTCCAAGTTGCCTGAATGGAAGCTGCAAAGTTTTTAATGAGCTAGCCTCAGAAACCTCAAAATGTCACTCTATTGCCTTCTATTGTCAAGCTGATCGCTAAGGTCAACAGAAGGCACGTTAGACCACAGCACTTGATGGAAGGAATTGCAAAGAAATTGTGGCCATCTTTAATTTACCACAATAACTATACAAAAATGGAATATTGCCAGATTTCTTTAAACCTTTTCTTCCCTTCATAGAGAATTTGAAAGATGCTGAGAGTAGCACAAAACTTTTAAATTTAGACAATATTAGTTAACTAATTTGTTAATTGGTTTCTACTTACTAATTAAGAAAAACAATATAAAAACTAATTTAAAATCATCCTTTGTGCTCAGTTTGGCTTACTGACAAAAACACTTTTTGGAGAATATTTTGAAATAATTACCAAGAATGTACTCTACAGGTGATATCTAGCGATTAATATAAAGGCCAATAATCTACCAATAATTAGTGATTTCATTCAATTTTAATTCCAGTCCAGTTTCCCTCCTAACTTACCCAGATCATCAAAAAGCTACAAAGTACATTTCTGAGAGTGTCTAGCACTCTCCAAAGTATGCCAGCTGCTATACCACCATAAAATGAAACCACTGTACTTTCAAACTTTCAATGTTTTGGTATGTTCGGCATAACTCATCTTCACTAGAGAATTATCACAGAAGCCTGACTTGACAGAAAGGTATGTATTAAGCTAAGATAAATATTTTACATGACACAACCAAATTTCATCTACAGGCTGGTAATGAGAAACAGTGTTCTCCTCAAGGCAGCTAGTAGAAAGAGTGATTTTGTTAAATAAAGCAGCTGGGTTACTTCTATAGGTATCCATTCATTGCTGCATTACCAATTACCCCAAATTAAATGACTTAAAACAATAACCATTTTATTATATCTCACAAATCTATAGAATAGCATTTTGGGCAGGGCTCAATGGGCATCTCTGCTCTACAGAGCATTGACGGGGGTCACTCAGCAATATTCAGCTGGTGGCTGGGTGGGGCTGGAGAGTCCCAGATGACTTCACTCATCTGTCTGGCACTTGAGTGTGCCCTACCTCCTTCCATGGATTCTCCAGGACTCTCCAGGGGGCCTGTCTAGGTCAGCAGTCAAACTTCTTTCATGAAGGCTCAGGTTCCAAGGGCAAGTGTTCCAACAGACAGGAAAAGAAGCCACCAATATTGTTAGGCTTGAGCAGGACACTGGCATATTGTCACTTCTGCCATATTCTTTTGGTGAAAGCAGTCACAGAGAGTCCACTCAGATTCAGGAAAAGAAGGCATAGACCTCAACTCTTGATAAAAAGGATTTGCAGTACTGTGTAATTTGCCACAGGGCCCATGAGGAGGCAGACATTTCTGAAGCCCTATTCTGGAATCTCTGGCCTGCAGGTCCCTTAAGAATTAGCTCAAAGCCAGATTCACAGAGGAAACCCAACTGATGTGAATTAGAAGCAACAATGAACCAAATCTACAGATGACATCACTTACATTAGATTGAAAAGTGGAATACAGAAATATTAAATGTGAAAAAGTTTCCGAATTATAGTTAAATCAGGATCTTTTAATATGTAAAGGCACTGAATGGGGCTTTTAAAAAATTGAATGTCATATAACCTCTATATATTAGAGGGAGGACGCCAGTTATAATGCATTACATTCATTCCCCCACTCAATCAGAAGCTACTTGTAGAAATAAAACAGTAATTTTTTAAAAAGTTTTTTAGAGGACATGGTTTTTCTCTTTCAAAAACTAAAAAAAGACTAAAGCATACATTTTATACCCAGTTTTTGAAGCAAAACTTAGGTCCATTTGAATTGTTTTCTTACTGTTATATAGATGAGCTATGTGAGGTAATATGCACTATCCCACAGACAAGTAACATAACACTTAGGTTAGCAGGGCCCTTCACAATCTAACCTAACACTGCTGTCCCAGGCTCATTTATTACTGGTTTCCTCCCAATACCCTCTAGTCAAAGACCACAGGGAACATACCTATAATTGAACAAGCTGATTTTATTATTCATTCTAGAAAGAGAAACTATATACCATTTGGAATTGTGGTGCCTGATGGTTCTCTATAAAGTGTTGTCAATAGGAAGGACTTACAGTATTTGCACTTGTTTTCCATGAATTTCAGTTACTAAATCTTACTTAACAGGAGTAAAAACTAGACTAAGACTAAGATTATAATTGATAAAAAAGTAGAAGTCATAGTATCAAATCAAATAAGGTGGTCATTTTTGTGGCTTTGACAATGTTCAGATATGATTATACAGTGATCATATTCTTTTCTTGATCAGACATTGTCAGAGTGGCCTTGTTTGATGTTGATGATTTGTGAAATTGTCTAATTCATCAGGGGAACACCAATTCCCACTCCAGACTGGCGCAGATGTCAGAGGCTGATTTGCTCTTCTACACTCCAGACCTGCCCTATTCATACTGGATTTGAGTTTTCTCTGCTCTCTATTCCGCCTTCTGTTCTATTCAATTCCCTATATCTTCAGGAACGCTTCATTTAGCACTACTTCTCAGTTTCTCTCTGAAGTATTTTGTGCTGCATGTTGTTTGATTACTTGTGTTTATGCTTTCTTTCCTCGAATAAGATTACAGCACACATCTCCCTCAGCATTGGCCGAGTACTGCAAATCAGTGACACCTAACACGTAGTGTAGTCACAAGAAAAGAAGGGATAGATTTATTTTCCTGTTCCATAGACTAGAGCACACGGCTGACGGGGTGAAATCGCTTTCCTTGACTGAATAAAATCTCTTCTGGTAACAGGTCCCACGAATCTAGACTTAAGAGCAACAAAGAACTCAGGTCTGAAAGAATCACTGCTGGAAAGAAACTACATAGGTTTTGGTCTCCCCAGAGCTTGGCGCGATACTACATTTCCCACAATTCGTCGGGGCCGACAAGGCGCCAGGATGGTCTGAACTACAATTCCCACAATCCTCGGAGACTACCATTCGCGAAGGCGCTGCGCCATTTCCCATCTTCCCTTTCGGCCCTTGCGCGCTTGGTAACAAGGTCGTGAAAGAAGGACTTGGTGTGGAACCGCCATTTCCTCCGCCTTCGGTCTCTGCGCCTTTCGCAGAGCTTTCAACAGCGACATGTTGGCACAGAGCATCCGGAGGTTCACAACCTCTGTCGTCCGTAGGAGCCACTATGAGGAGGGCCCCGGGAAGGTTAGTGCATAAGGGGCTTGGTTGCGGGGCGAGGGAGTTGCTTGGCTGCGGCTGACTCACCCACAAAGCCACTTACAGACTGTGAAGAGGGAGGTGGTAAGCTGGGAATTCGGGCTGAGATACAGACTAGCTTTCCACTTACTCTAGGGTCTAGGGAGAAAGCTGGGGATCCCAGCACGCGTAGCCACAGAAAGGAATAGACAGGTAGAGCTGAAGCTTTACTTCCATTAGCTGTCCTCCGCACCCCGCACCCCCCCCAAATAAAAAGCTCTGAATGGCCCCGAAAACCACGGCTGCAGGTGTTGTGGCTTAAAACCAAACTGGAGGTCATCGGGCACGTAATGAAGGTCATTGGAAGTTAATGAGGAAATGAGGGCCTGTGGTTGCGGATCAGCCCTTTCTAACTAGTTGACTACATTAGAATATTCGGTTAAGGCTAGATTTAGCCTCAGGTGTAAATAACTTAAATCAGGTAGTTTAACTGTTAAACCTTTGAGGGTAAAGCGAGGCCTAGTCGTAAAGGACAGAGAAAGGATGTATGATTGCTGGGTGATGAAAAAGTCAAAACTTTGAAATTCAGTTAACATTGCCGTGTATTGTCTTTCCTGGGTGGCTATTTTCTAATAAATGATAAACTGGAACAGCGGGTTCTGTTTCTAAAATAATTGCTTTGAAGAGTAAATTTTTTTCAATTTTCTGAAATAGAAAACTTACCACCATTTTGCACTTGAGTCCTTAGGACCATTGCCCAGGGTTCAGTAAAGCCAGTTATTTCTTACCTTCTAATGTTATGTGTGATGAAGGTCTATGGGATTTGAAAGATGATGTTTGCAAAGGTATACGATTATGTAAAATATATGTAACATCCCTTGCATACTTGCCTTTTGGTCTGTAAAACAGATGATTTAAAGTTTTGTTTTCGTTACTTGTTCTCTTTCCAACAGAATTTGCCATTTTCAGTGGAAAATAAGTGGCGGTTACTAGCTATGATGACTTTGTACCTTGGATCTGGATTTGCTGCACCTTTCTTTATAGTAAGACACCAACTGCTTAAGAAGTAAAGATGTTTTAATTCATCCATTTAACAGGTAATTAATGGATTTATAATCTTCCTAACACAGTGCTTTTTTTCCCTTTTATGTCATACCTCCCCATCCCCTGAAAAACACACACGCCCCCACAAATACATTGTAGTGTAGGGCTGATTCCTGAAGTGTGTAGATGTGGCATTGGGGGAGAGTGATTGGTAAACTTATAAACATATTTCAATAGTGATCAATAATGGCCAGTGTTTATGGAGTACAACTTTTTGTCAGGCACACTTTGCACTGATTACCTCATGTGTTTCCCCAGCAAGCCTGTGAGGTAGATGATATTAACCCCATCTGAGATACAAAGATGTTAAGTTGTCCAGGATCCCATATCTAGTGATGGTGGTCAGGATTCTTACCCAGGCAGTCTTGTTCAAGAGCTCACACTTTTTGACCAGGTAAAGTTGTAAAAAACTGATTAATGTTATCCTGTCCTGCACACTTTCACTAAAATATCAGTGGCTTAGAACATGTCTTTTAAAGCACTATAAACTTTTCAATTCCTTTTGAAAGTAGTCACTATGGACCTTTTCAGTTTTTAAAATCTAGGCTTACAATATTGATTTAAGTTGTGAAAACCCTAGGAGATGAAATCCTTCTAGTGTTCCTTGATATATCAGTCCCAGATATTTGTACTATTATAAATCTGTGCCTGACCAACTCGGCCATCTTGGGAAACTCAAAACTTATGAAGATACTTTTCTCATTAAGCAGTGATTCTCAAATGGGAGTGATTTTGCTCCACGGTGTGGCATTTGGCAATGTCTGGAGACATTTTTTGATTGTCTCAGCTGGGAGGCAAAATGGCAGTAGTGTCGAGGTAGAGAAACCCTGTGTTAAGAGAATATGTTCTGTATCCAAAGGAATCTCATGCATTGGGAGGATTGCAAATTTCCTGTGTGTGAATAAAAAGTTTATTTCTTAATTGTGATCAGAGTTTCTCAAAGTAATAGGATACCCTGTTGGATAATTGGAATAAATTCCAAAGTATACCTTAGAAAGGGAAGACTGTATGTCATAGTTTAGAAGGGGAATGATTTATCCAAGCACTTAATATGGAAATGTTTTGGTGCATATGATGAAGCAAATCAGTATGAATAAAGTCATGATACTGTAAACGCTTTCTGATGTACCTGTCAAACTAGTGATAGTATTTTAATGAAACTACATGACTTCCGTTAAACGAATGGGATTTTTTTAATGCTATTAATTTTTGTTTTTATTTTGCAGATAATGAAGAGCATTTTAAGAGGTGCAATCTCTTTGAAAAATGGATCAAACTCTTGAACTCATAGCATACTAGATATGTTTGTAAATAAACATAAGATATGAATGCTTAATGCCTCTTTTCTGAAATGAGGAATGTGACAATTGAGCATTTAAATGGAAAAATGAGCATTTGCTTACTTTCTTATGTGGATAATATTCTAGTATCAGTTTCTTAAGAACTGTGTGAGTTAGCCTGTTTCGTGGTCTTAAATACTGAGATTTTATTTAATTTTAGATTCCTAGATCAGGACATTGTTGGTAATTTATGTTATAAAAGAGAAATACAAATTGGACTTTGGTTGTCCTGTAATTCTTTTTTTAATTTAAAGGGAGAAAAAAGATATACTTTTAGTCTTCCCCTTTACTTTGACAGTGTAAATTGATTTTTCTCCATGAGTGATTAATTAATCATGAAGAAAACCAGTAGTGTGTACAGACTGAAGTTCTGGTTAATCGGGTTTTTAAGAGCTTCGATTTTTTTTTCTTCTAGGCCTATAACCTAAAACTGAAATTTTTACTTCAGTAAATGTACTGGTGACCAGTATTAGTCTTGTTTAGACTGAAAAAGAATATTTGCAATGGAATATAATAGCATGTAAGATATAGTATAGGAAATATTCCCAGTGTATTATGGAGCTTTGACTGTAGTATGCCCTAGTAGAAATGAGGTAAAAGATTGCTCTGATTCGCAGTTGTATCTGTGAAACAAATTTATATTCTAAATAGTGAAGTGCTGCTTACCATTTAAAATATGATGACTTAGTTCCTAGGACTTTGTGTAAAACAGAGGGTAGTAATTAGCTACTGAATATTTCAATTCCACATTGGTCACTATTGAAATACTACTTGTGTTGGAAGAATACTGTAAAACAGATTGCAAACTGGTGATTTGTTTAGCCTCTAATCTTTTTGGTGAGAGAGTGCTACATTGTTTTTAAACTAACATTTAAATACCAGAATATTCACCTAAAAGTGTTTCTGGATGCTTGAAAAATTGCCCTAGATGCCTCTACATCCCTCATGGGACAAAATAGCTGCTAATGCCGCTCCTTACCATAACATTAGATTTCCTATATGACTTCCTGTAAAACTAATTTGCTAGAACCTTAAATTTTGGTTTTTCTCTCTGCTTATGTGCTAGAGCCTGTTTTTAGACTCTTCAACAACCACCTGACACTTAAATATGGATACAACCTTAGTCTATATGACTGTCCAGATATTCCCTGCACTTGTATGTCATCATTTTTTGAATGTCCAGTGATGAATTGGGTGTCATCCTGTGTTTTTTCTATGGAACATTAAGGTTTTCCATCTTCAGAAAAGGAAGCGGGAGTAAATTTAGGGTTTGTAAAATGATCCAGTTTTCCATTTTTTGGAAATGGAGATAGTGCTTACCTCATTGGATTGTTTTGAGATCCAGTGAGCTATAAAAACATTTTCTGACAAATCCTAAATGAATATTTTTTTTTTTTTTTCTGGTTTGAAATACATTGGGAATCAAAAGTAATAGTAGTGGGTAGCCAGGTCTAGGTAAAAAAGTGCTTGAGGGATATACATAAGGGAGAAAAAAACCTCCCCTGCTTCTCCTATGCCCATAAAAAGGCTTCAACAGGCTAGCTCTGGTATGTTGTGAGTGGTAGAGGCCGGGCAACTGCTTAGTTTCTGTATTAGGGTTCCCCAGAGGAATGGATGCAACAGGGTGCCTGCGGAGAGGGATTTAAGTCTCATGCAATTATGGAGGGTTAATGAGCCCAAAATCTGGGTATTCCAGCAGGCTCGAGACCCAGGAAAAAATCCAAAGGCAGTCTACTGGCATAATTCCTCCTTGGAAGTCAGTCTTTGTTCATTAAGGCCTTTAACCGATTGAATGAGGTTCACCCACAATATGGAGAGAAATCTGCTTACTCAAAAGTCCACCAATTTAAATGATGATCTCATTCGAAAAACAGCTTCACAGAAATACCTAGAACATTGTTTGACCAAATGTTTGGATGTCCACTGTACATGCCAAGTTGACATGAAATGAGCTGTAACAGTTTCACATAGGCATGTGACTAGTGTAATATTTTGCAAGGTGTTTTTTTATTTTAGTTTATGGAAGCTAGTTTTTGAGTGTTGGCTTAAAATTTAAAAAATTTTAAAAACCACCACGGGGAAAAAATGACTGTACTTTCATACCCTAAACTAGTTTTTACAAATTTAGACTGACACTTTAAAACCACAAGGTTCCCCCAAAATACAGATTGTCTTGAAAATTACACTGGATGAACCCACACATACCTAATGTAAAATTAAGCAAGGCCAAGTAAAATTTGTAGCTTTTGCAGCAGCTTCCCTTACCATAATATCTGAATAGGGATTTTAGTCAGAATGCAGAATTGATTAAGAGAAGCCACTATCATTGCTTCCATAATTATGGCCGTGCTAAAGAAAGCAAAAATACTGAGTATAATAGAACTTAATGTGGCCTCAGGACTAAGATTCAAAACCAGGCTTGACACAGTCATCGGCTGCAATAATCTGTACCTTACTTTCTATGTATGTCAAATAGACTAACTTAACAATAGTTGTGAACATCTAAAAAAAATGCCTAAATTTAGGCAAATTTCTTTAGGCTGCAATTGAACTAGACAAGCGAGATGGAGGAACTAATAGGCATTGTGTAGGCAAGCCATTCTGCAACAGTTACAGATTGGTATTTCCGGTCACCCAAGCTACAGTTTTAACCAGCTGTCCAGCAGACACTTCAACCTTACCACCTCCAAAAGTGATGCCAGGGTGGTGCTAAAGAGCTAGTATGATAATATAATAAGCTATCACCTTCAGAGTAAAACTCCAGCTCCTTGCCCTGGTGTTTAGTCGCTTCCCCATAGTTTCAGGCACACAGCACTGACTATTGTGTACCACCTCCTTGTCTTAGCTCAAGTGCCACCTTTTCTGTAAAGCCTGCCTTTGCTCCTTTCTCCCCATTATCCCTAACACACTACACATAAGTCTGGAGCACCCTAGTAAACAGCCTTATAATTAAGCATATACTGTAATTACTAATTTCTTTACCTATCTGCCTTACTAGATTATGATCTTTCTGTGACCAGAGGCTTTTATTTATTCATGTGTCCTGCATCTGTAATTTAGTGAGTGATCAATGAACATTTATTGAAAGGGTTATTAAAGCCAAGAATGACAAAATTGCACAAAAAGCAAGTTATTGGCCTCGTACACCAAAATATATGTTTCAATGTTTTATAAGAATAAATTTTTCCTACGTAATTGACTGAGTTGGATTCTGCAACCAAACGTAAATGTATTGAAATTACCCAATGGTTGTGAAAATTCAGTAAGATTAACAGTTCATTCCAAAATGTTAGCTGTGTCATTTGAACACTTTATTCCATCTGATATTTTTCTTCTTTGCAGACAAACTTTGTTGATGATGGAAAGTGTGTGTTGATTTACAATCTGGCAATAGTTCTTTATCTTGTTTCAAACCAGCATTTTGAGAAGCACTTAAAGAATTAGAGAATTTTTTTTTTTTTTATCTTGTGTAACAAAAGATAGAACTCAGGAATTTAAGGGCTTTCCATCTTCCTCAGCCTGTTTTTCCTAAACAATTTCTTTCATTGTCCTAAGTTGGCTGCTACAGTTCCAGGCATCCCACAGACTTTATAAATGTCCAACAAGAAAAATTACTGTCTCAAGTATTTTTTAAGAATGAAGAAAGTTTTCCTTCAGACTATCCCTCACCAGTCATTGGCCAGAAGACTCATAAATCCACTTCTAAATACAACACTAGTAAGAAGAATGGCATGACAGTGATTAAATTTGACCAATTAGTATTTTCTCACAAGTCTTAATGTGGGCAAAGTGGATGCTGGAGCATATCAGGATTCTATCAGGGAAGAAAAAGTGGCTATTGGGTATGAAAACATTCTTGCTGCAACTATTCTATATACTAAGAAGATGGACCCAAATACCATAAAATGTAATAAGCTTTCATTTTAGTGTATCCAATAAATAAAGTCTTTAGTATAACTTCAGAATATGCTAGTTATAGAACAGAGGAGAAATATCCTGCTTTTCTGTCTCAATAGAAAATATAGTAATTGAAGTTTTTACATAATTTATACTCTACCCACATCAAAATATTTTTTAAAACTTTATTATTAAATTATATTTTGTTCTCATAGCTATTGTAATTTTAAAGACCAGAGAGAAAATAGCCACTTTCTCTATATATCTACATTAATACAGTGAAGATCATTTAGTGAGTATCTAATTCAAATACAGTTGATTTTGGAGAGAGTTCTTGAACTCATACTTGAATATAGGAACAAGAGATCTGGGTCCTTCCCTAACCTGGTATAGGAGTCATTAAGGCTTTGCATAAATATGACAGTTCTACTTCTGAACACATGACAGGATCAAACTCTATCTCCTTTACTTTGGCAATGAAAAAATGAACAGAAGTGATATATATTACTTCTACATGTAGGCTTTAAAAGGCAGTGCACCATTCACCAAATTCCCTTCCTTCTGCTACAGGAATGCAGTTTTGAGTAGCTATGCCATTTCCACTTTATTCTCATTTTCGTGTACCCCACTCATCCATTGGGAACCTTCATAAAAATTAGAAAATGAGTCTCTTCTTCCAGGTGGACACAGCATCATGCACACTTGCTCTCTTGTCCAGTCACCTTTATAACATTTGAAACCAGTACAACTCTGTCATATTCCTGCATAATCATCTCAAATTTAAATTTTTCTGATTATTACTACTAAAATTTACTCACTTCCTAATTTTCCCAGATCTGACAAAAGGTAGAATCATAATAATTATCCTGGGTTTTAATAGGGCTCTATATTTCTTAAAATAAGTATCGTGTGTTTGATGGATTTCAAAACTTAGTGCTATGCTTGGTAAATATTAGGCTTTCAACATGTACATTTGGATAGAGACAAGGACGAATACTAATCAAATATAACAGCATTTCCAAGTATAATGAGGAACCAGTCTAGGAAGTTCTCTGGCTGATGCCTAACTTTCTAAGGAGGAATAGGAGATGA